TAATGGACTAAAACCAATAAACCATACGTGGTAAATATTGGAGAAATTGGAATTTCCTATTAATTTTTAAACAAATTGCAGATAATTTGTGTAGATTTTCCCGTCGTATCGCCACCACTTTCTTTCTACCACAGCCTTTCCTCCAAACATTCTGACCTATTCTAGCCTACTGTAATACCATCTCCAACATTTTAATTTATATTACTTCCATTCTTTGGCAACTTCATCAATTAATTCCCCTAAAAATAAAGTTTCTACACCATTTTTTCATAAAAAAATTTTGATTTAATCAAAAGTTTCCAAATCGTAAGCACATCCAACCAATATTAATCAATATTTTACTAATATTAAAATCAATAAAATTTAAGAAAATAAATGGCACTACTGTAAAAAATAGAAATGTTTAACCACAAAATAATTTAATTTCCAAAACAGTAACCAATTTTCAATATGAGTTTTTTAAAATTCAATTTTCAACACAAACCAAAGAAATGAAAGAAAAATTTTTAGGATATAAGGAAATCCTTTACTGACATTTCTCGATTTTTTTCCCAAGCAGAAAACAAGAATAACATCAGAAACTGTTCCTTATCCTTTATTTTTTTTTCTCAATTTCTTTCTCAATATTATAGAATTAAATTTCATTTTAATGTTAATCTTAATAAGAAAAAAAAAAGTGAAAACTAAAATCAAAGGAAAGAGAGTGGAAAAGATTATGAAGAAAAAAAAAAGGTCAAAATCAAATCTGTCTTTGTTGGTCAACGAATTACCAAAGAAAATCCTTTTAGTCCTTATTTTGTTACTTTTTATTTTTAGTAATCTTCTTCTTGTTATATTGTCCTTTATCTTTTTCCTATATTGTACGAAAATAGAAAATAAATTTATTTTTAAAATATTATAAGGTAATGTTATACAAATATAACTGGTATATGGGTAGTTAATATGAATGAATACAGGATAACAAATCAAGGATGCTAACATTTAAATAGATTTTCTATATTTCTAGTGTTATTGTTGCTATAATCTTAAAAATGTCCTTTCGATTTTATTTGTTTGTGTCTTCAAAATGAATTTATAAATGCTTGAATAAATATTATGTGCTCTTTATTATTATATTATTCTCAAAAACTTTTTATATTATTTACTAAGAAAGAGAGAAAGCAAGACAGAGGAGCTGAGGAGATCCTTGTTTAGGATACTTTATAATATGTACTTCAAATGATGAGAATTTTAAGTTTGTACAGACAGAATTTTTAATTTTTTCTTTTATTTTATTTTCTTGGTATTGTTCTTAGTGTTTTTTTTTGTTGTCATTATCCATTGTGGGTAACCATATTATTTTAAATATACACACATACACATTCATCCACATTTATATTGATGTTAAAATGTTGATCCTTATAAATATTTATTGTATTATTTGGGAAACTATCTTCATCAGTTTTTCACCTGACTTCCGGTTTAATTTGAATTGTTTTATTTATCTTATTTCTTTGTCTTTTAAAATTATTCAAAATTAAATGGAATATTGTGCGGAAGTTCAAATTCCATTAATAATGCATGTGTGTTTGAAGAAAAATAAACCAAAGCTAGACTTACGTCGTACAAGGTACCTGATTTCTCGCCGACTGGATGATATCGATGCCGTAAAAAGATTTGTGATGTGCCATTGTATGGTTGGCAAATATGTAAAAAGTATGGACCGCTCCGTAAACGATCTTTGTAAAAGCTGCTGTAACAGAGAGTAGGATTAAACGATGATCCACCTTCTAGACACATGTCTGGCACCGGTGTACTCAGGGCAAAGATTTCTTCTACGAGCTTAACGAATGTAAACATTAGGGATCTTAACTGCCTCTTGAAAAGTTCGAGCTGGATCGAATGAGGGTCTGAAAAAAGAAAATCCAGCGCTACCACAACGAACCTAAGTGACCTTAGATGTACCCTTTGGCGGGCCACATCAACCTAACCTATTCCTATAATTAACATAGTCAAACCAAATATTTGTTCGAAAATATTTTTGGTTTTCCTTAAAAAATTTTACAATAAAAAAAAATCAATTGAAAAACTATTTTGCATTTTCTACAAATGTTGGTTTTACATTCTATTAAGATCTTAATGGGTGGTATTTTTAATGACATCAGGAATTTTTACAGCATTAGATATTGAACATTAGATAGAAATTAGTATTTTGTTATTCAGTTCAGTTCCTATTTTCCTTGTCTTTTAAGAATTCAATTGAATTTTTCTAATAATATTTTTGGTATAGAAGTTTTTGATAAAAACATTTTATATAACTATATAGAAATAATTTTAATATGAAAATCACTTAATTTTTTCTTGGTTACGGACAACTTGTATAATTATTTAACTTTTATTTTTATCCTTTCAAGTGCATAAGAAAGAAGACATTTTCTGTTTAAAGAAAAAAATGTAAGTAAGAGCGACCGTAAACAGTAAAATGTAAAAGAGAGAGACCGAAAAACAGAATTGAAAATTCGGAAAGTTTTTCTATCAAATTTTTTGTTTTTTCTGTTTGTCTTTGTTTAAAAAGTAGTTGTTTTTTTTGCTTGCAACAGAGTATCTAAAACGGGACTCTTTTGAATCTTTTATAGAAAAACTTCTTAATCAGATTTTTAATTTATTTTCTTAGATTTTTGTAACTTGCTTTTTGTTTTGATTCTCATCAAGAAAATGTCATTTGAATTTTAACCTTTTAATTTCCACAGATGACATTCTGTAGGTTAGTAATGCACATACTTTTCAGAATAACAAGTGTTGTCACTAGGGGTGCTACAAATATTAGAATTAATTCGTCTAGAATTAAGAATGGAACAACGTGCAATCCCGAACAAGAATCAATGAACTAATTTTTCTCTTTGAGTAATTTTTCAATGTTTAAGAATTAGTGTTCATTTGAAATTGCAAAAAAAAATTAAATATCTTTTAAAAACTTCGGAGAATTCTTTCGCCCTTCAAAATTATAATAATTTTGGAACTATTCAAAATAATTTAAAAAATTACATACCACCGGGGGCAAAAGATTTTACTATTAAATACTGAGTAATTACTATTACTCAGTAAAGAATACCAGTACCAACTGATATAATCATAATGAAATTCAATTCTATATACCAAACTGAAACGTTGACAATCATAGGGTTATAAAACAACAAAACTTACTACTCTTATATATACAAACACTTTGATTGACTAAATACTAGAATTGAATAAAATGTCGGAATATTAAGTTGCTTGTATGAATATTATTTAGAGTTCTTCTATAATGAAAATGAAAATTTAAGTTCTGCTCTTGATGACCTTTGATATAATGATGAAAAGAGTAAAACAAATAATTTTTGTGTCTTTGAAAATTCTAATAAAAAAGTTGTAAGTAAAATTTTGTTAAAGAAAAACTAAAAAATGAAATTCAAGAAGTAATTATTTTTTTCTGTTGTTTCATTTTCTTATGGGATAGTTTATCTTGCAAGTGACAGGATAAAGTAAGCTAAGTAAACGTTGTTTGTGTATTCTTAAAGTTGCTTTGATATTGCAAATGCAAGAAAGATGCTTTAATTAGTTAAAATTTTTGAATTTGTTTGATTATTTACCAAATTATAATTTAAAATGATAATGTATAGTTCTTTTAGGTCTTTGGTGGTCTTTGGTGATTTTTTCCAAAAAGCAATGCTCCCTAAATATATTGCCTAGAAATTCTAGCAATAGGGTGGACGATACTATTTGCTTTTACCTCCGTACTACTGCAGCCTCCTTCTGCTTTGTTTAACTAGCCCGTTAGATCAGACTTGTATCCAAAGCTTTTCCAGGCAAAGGTCTTTGTCTAGCACCTTTTACATACGTGAAAACGTCGAGTTGGTTTGGGTGCTTAACTCTTACTAAATCAAATCGGATTCGATGCTGGAGCGCCTATTGGCTATAGTGAAACTCGGTAGAAGGAATAAGCTTGTCCTATCATAGGTCCCGGCGCATGTAGATGCTAATGTTGTCATGACGAGGCGAATGTTCTTGCAAGGTTGGGAGTGAAGATGGCTTTTGTCCGGCCCAAATATTGCAGGAATGTTGGGTTCGACCGCCAGGAGCGAGGCAGACGAAGCTCTTCATTTCTGGTCCATTTCCCAGAAGAGCCAGTGGGCTGTTTGTTTTTAATAGGAGTGAGGCCAAGTTGGTTTTCGGCTTCTTCACTCAATATTTGAGACTGCATCTCAAGTCATACCGTTCATGTCATTCGGTTTCATGATCAATTTTTAAATGTCAAAAACGTCATGCATCCTAATATTTACTTTTAAGCAATAACAAAAAAAAAGTAGAAAAGGTAAATTTTACAACCGATTGTGCCATTGCAACTCAATTTTCTCAAGAAATTTGTTCTAATTTTTAACAAGACCTATTATCTCGGAGCTTACATTTCTTAAATTCTGTCTTAAATACACATAAACTTTCTTAATCATTTCACCTTATATCTATGCCACTTAATACATTTAACAGGAAGGTAAAAATGTAGCTTTTAAAATATAATTAAATTTATTATTGTCTTACAATTAAACATTTTGAAGGGAAATATCGAAAATTTTTTATATTGGAACGCAAAAACAATAATATGCTAATAAGGAAAAAAAATATAAAAATTACATTCATGAATGTAAAAATTTTCAGTATTTTTTGTGACAATAATAATGTCCTGCCCATGATACAAACCAAATTAATACGAGTATACAATTAAATTTACATTTTTATGTACGTATACAAAAATAATTTTAAAAATGAGGGAAAAAAGGACATTAATTATATTATAAAAATAAACGGTATTATATTTTAACAGTTGTGCGGTAATTTTGGATAACAGTATTATTAAAATATCCTGTTTATTATTACAATATTATTGTTGCTATGCAATTCTACAATATCAATTCCTGCATTATCATTTTTACAGTGCATATGTGTATATGTGTGTGAAATACATAATTTTTGTTCGGACTTACCCATACAAATTGTAACCATTTTCCAACTTTTTTCAAAATTAACACGTGAATCATTTTTAATACGTTGCACCAAAACTTTTGCCATAAATGGTAAATCTGATGAGACAGCACCAATTTCCGCAACATTAAATTGTGAATCAAGATGAAATGGAAATGAATCATGTCGTGAATATCCCACAAGCTAAAATAAAACGCATAACAACACCAGATTAAATATTTTTTTTTAAATAATGATAATGGTAATATTTAAAATAATAATAATAATATAAAAATAAAAAAGGCAAAATAGGAAAATTAAAAATATAATTTTTATTTTACTATTATTAAAAATAATAAATTTATTTTATTGTATTTATTAAAAAATAGTCCTTTTGTTTGAAAAAAAAAATTGCAATTCGCGTATATTTTTATGCGTATACAAAATCGGATTTTATTTCTATATTCATTGAATATTATTGTTCGATTGTTGCATTTGTGTGAGTGCGGCAGCATATTGATTAGCACTAATGTAGGTTGGGACGATGATGCACAGCGATCTGAAAGATCTATTGTGCCTCTTTCCCATGAGTTCTTTGTGTCTTGCCTATAACACCTCCTTTAAACCCACGCTTTTGATGAATCCGAGCAACATTTTCCGGGAAATATCTCGAAACTATATGCCCTTCTGTTTTCCATCAACGTTCTACAGTCATTGAGAAGGTGCATCGGGGACTCCGCCCCTTCCTCTGCAAGACTTGTTGGCCCTAAGACGAATTTGCGTAGGTGTTTCTTAAGTCTGCAGAGTCCCGGCCAAAAACCCGTGAGACCTCCCTTATGATTCCTCGGCATTACTTATGATTGCCGTAATGCATTCCTAATTCTAATTACCCAAAAGCCCCTTTGCTGGCAAAAACCCTCCAATGAAACACATGAAAATTTTGAAAAAATAAAATTTTCTCTACGATGTAGATCTTAACACTCTTTAACAGTCTATTGCATCAAACGCTCATATTTGCCTAATGCCCCATTAAATTTTATTCTAGTCCATATCTTATTTCAATCATTTGAATTTTATTTAACGTATATACTATAATCTAAGGGACTACTATCTACCCGATTTAATTTTTTTTTTCCAATATCATTTTTTAAATTTTATTTTGCACAAAATAAAAGAACAATTTATTCAAAATTATGCAAATACTTTCATTTCTACTTTTTTTTTTAAATATTTCGCCTCAAGGACTCCTAAATTTACCAAATACCTATTACAACTACAAAAAAAAAAAAAATCCTAATTTTTGATAACAAATTTTATAAACTAAAATTCTCTATATGAATAAAATTAAAACTTAAAATAAACTAGAAAAAAAAATCAAACTAAAATTACCAACCTTTGGATTAAAAACTTTTAAAATATTTGGTAATGTTGTTACATTACGCCAATTATATTGTCCACCAATACTCCAAACTAATCCACGATTCTCCATAAATAAATCTACAAATTTAGTTGATGCTGCACCAGTACCAGCCGTTAATGAATCTCCCATTGCAGCAATAACATCGATATCACCTAAATTAACAAAAAAATAAATTGCCGTGAGAGCAGCATAAGTGAGATAATGGAAAATTAAATAACTAAAATTAGTAAATAACTATTTTTTATAGGCTGCAATTTGGTTTTTGTTTTTGGTATTCCTTTTAGCCATTTACAATAATTTTATTAAATTAGTTGCAAATAAAATAAAGGTATCTAAGTTTTTTCCCCCAAAATTATGAAAATTACGTTATCAAAATAATTTTAAGAACTAATCTGTTTACATTATTTCAATAAAATGTACTAGGTGATTTTTAAATAATTAAATGCAGTCGCACGATTTAGTCTTGGTAAAGGATACGCAATGCGTATATAAACGCTATTATTAACTTAAAAAACAAACCACTCCGCCAACAACATCTTTTCGGAAAAAAGACAAAATAGCAGAAAATTACCATATTTGAAGTAAGAAGTTTAAAACTGTCATAGACACAAACCTAATTTTTATATTGCTTTACGTCTGCAATAATTCGGATTTTTAAAATAACTTTATGGTTCCTAACTTTAATCACGCGTATCTGTCTTAAACATTTTTTATTTTTCGATTATACCTGAGCTTATGAAATATGCAGGCATATATTCCCTCCTCCCTATTTTAGCATAGATTCAAACCAACAAACATGAAATTACAAAGGAAAAGTTTGAATTGAAATAGTTTACTTAAGATGTGAAAATTTTAAGATGTGAATATTAACTTTAAACTTGAACAACAAGTTAAATGACCGTCTATAAAAAACTCATGCTATATAAACTAAAATTGACTCCACTAAAAAAATACATAATTACTTACATAAATTTTGACTTGAGATTTTAAAACTCGACATTATGCAAAATTTAAGCATTGACCTGACATTAATTGTGATTCACAACTATTGTCAAACAAAAAGTGGCGCGCCCATTCTTGTAGAAAAATAAACCTGGCGCCCCTATACATACAATAATTTCCTTATAATTTTCCAGTTTTCTTTTTAATCACATAAGAATATTATTTACAAATTTATCATATTATCACATCTTAAGGGACATTCCTAAGTAATATTAAAAAACTTGAAAAAAAAAAAAGTAAACAGTAATAAATTATTTCTAACAGAGCTACTCATATAATGCTCCTCATTCTGTTAAAACTTAAAACAAACACAAACCATAAGCTCATCCGTACTTAAAAAAGAGAAAATATAAAAGTTAAAACCTAGATAACAAATCACCTAGCAAAAGGGTATACTAAAAAAAAACACACTACAAACAAAACATAAGGTATAAAATAAAAAAAAAACAAAACTCACCTGGCCTTAATTTATGTACACTATTTGGTTTTGTAGCACTTTTTGAATTATTTAAACCACATGGGAATTGATCATCATTGCTATAGGGAATTTGTAAAAAATGTCCTTCAGTTCTTTGACTTGTACGTCCAATATTATTAAATACGAAATTACGAAACATATGAAAATATGAACGTAATGATAAATTATCAAACATTGTTATCCTTGTATAACCATTTACAATTGGTAAAAATCTTATTATACTTATAATTTTATATGTGTTAGTTACCTTAGGTCTTATAACATTTAAATTATTTAGAATTTGTTTGGTAGAAATTAATTTTATATTAAAAATTCCAAGAAAATAAATAACTATAATTATCTTCTTGGTTCGATTTCGAGGCATTGTTGTAATCTTATGAACTCTACCACAATATATAGTGTTCCGACAATCTTCAGTTTTTTTCTTCTTTTAGAGAATATTGTATAGCTTTTTCTTATCTTACATTATACGTGAGGAATCCCAAATGAATCCAGAATTTTTTTTACTATAAATACTCAGGAATTTAATAGTGTATATGTAAATGTAGAGAAGGTACACAATTCTCCTAGAATTCCTTAAAATTCGTGTCCTTAATTCTTATAAAAACTCGAAGCACATTAGAAACGTATACAAGGAAAATAAATCAAAATGATTTATTTATTAAAATATTTTATATATGGAAGTTACGTTCCTATGGCATATATAAAAACTAGACCAAGTTATAGGTCCAGATTTTTTATGTTCATTACATAAAATTGATTTTGTTTTTGCATTTGTTTTGAAAATTGTCTCCTTTTTTGCAAGGTATTAATGTCCTTTTAATATTATAAAAATAAGTTCACTTCACTTTTTATCATATGAAAACTATCGCATACATAAATCAAAATTTATTTACTTTAAGAAGCAAACACGCACACACAAGTTTCAGTAGGTAAAACGGCTAGAAGTAAACCTTTTTATGCTGTTCTTAACTCCATATTTGCACTTCAGTTATTTTTGCACTCACTTCCTGTATTGTCGTTATTTTTTCAACTTGTCTTCTCCTGTTTTTCAATTTTGAATTTTGTACTCGGCAAGGAAATCATTTATTGATTTAGTTGGGCCGAACTTAGTATGGTATTCCATTCAATTTAACGTTGAATTTTCGATTTTTATATGGCTGCAGTTGTGTACCGGCTTATTTATTAAGAATTTCACAAAAACAAACAATTTTTTAATTAAAATTAATGAGTCCCGTTGATTTTAATCAATTCTTTTGCTAGTTAATCGCCAATCTTTCCAAAAATAAAATAATAAGCCCAATCAGCGTTGAGTTAAAAATAATTTTATTCGTCATCCGAAATTGAACTAAAATTATGAGCTCTTTTGCATTTGTACTATTTAAAATTAAATTCTTAAACTTTTTCAAAGAAATTTTTATATTTACAAATTATAAGACCTTGTAAACCTTATGGGACCGTGTTGTTGTCCTTTTCAATATTTTTATTTCTTCATCGTTTCAAACATGAACACAAATTTTGTCTCCTGTCTTCAAATGCTAAGTTCTGAAATAGAAAAAAAACAAAAAATGCAAAAATAGCCTACAAAACCGAATACAAATTTCTATTTTTATTTTTTTATTTTCATTTAAAAATGTAATAAAAATGACACATAGAAAAATCTGAAGAAATTCTCAACCTACCTTGTTGAAAAAATGGGTATTTAAAAATTATTGTTGATTTTATAATTCAGACATGATCAGAACATTCTTGTAAACAAAATTATCTTCAATATGAACCAAAAATTTAAGAGAAGATACAAAAGAGGGATTTGTACTGTTTTGAAATTTTAAAATATAAATATTCCTTTTTTCCAATAGATGTTAATGTGAAATTCTTAAACTAAAGGGGTGCGGCTATATTGCATACACGTAGTTTTCGGTATTAAATGTTTTCATAAAAATAGCACTAAAGCAGCCGTTTAATTTAGCCGGCCGCTTTGTTGTTATTATTCGATTTAAGGTTTTGTGACTAAATGAGTTGGGTAGGCACAACTGAACTGCTTTTTACTTGGCTCCCGAATATGTGGAGGCAGTGAACAGTCTGACGTGTTCTCGAGCAGGTGGCGAGCACACCCCTTCTGCAGCCAAAACCCTTCTTCGGAACACAACTTCCCTTGACAAAGCAGAAATCACACTTTTGAAGGAACTGCGAAAAATTAACCCTCATGAGATATTCGAGAGATATATCTGGAAAGGCACTCTACGAGCCATGCTTGTACTTGGTTTATGGCACAACAAATCCAACTAATAACACGTAAAGATGCACAGTCACTCTGTTTTCACAAATCTACAATTTACAAAAGGTTTTGGAGATTTTTCATATAATATAAAGCTTTTAACTAATTAGCAACTTTTCCAGTAGAATAATCGCTTAGCAATTAATAATGAATTTTGTGTAATTTTTATGCCAAAAGTTCTGATTAAAGATATCGCGAAATAGGTAGATGATCTTTACTAAAATAATATTCAATAAAAATCACGTAATATTATTTGAATAATCTACGTAATTGTATTCAATTCAGGTAGGTCAACCAGTTCACTAGGTTTCTATTGTTGAATTTTTAATAAACCTTGCATTAATATGCTAGTAATTTGATTTAGAATAAATACTTGATTTGCTATAAGCACAATTTTAAGATTTATTTCTAATAGATTATCCAATCATGAAGATCTTATATCACTTTTATCAATGTCACCTAAAAATTATTTAAAAAAATTTTTCTGCTTGTCAAAATGTACGTCACATGTCACACAGCAATTTGCAAATGCAACTAGCTTAGAATAGTAATTAGTTAAAATAACAATTTTTACACACACATGCCATATGATTAAATTTTTAAGATAAAACTTCTAAAGGCCAAATACAATACCTGCTGATACCTGAAAGCCTACCCAATTTTAAATTTAAAGTTCATTTAAAGTCGACACAAATTTAAAGCTGATCACTTAAATATCATGTATAACCACTGTGTACAAATTAAATTTATTTCTAACGATAATTATAAAAGTTTCAGCTAATTCTCTTTAATAATCAATAGTTTTTGCTTTAGTTTAATTGAATTTTTAACAAAAAATATTTAATTTAACACATTAAGATTTTATACAATTAAAGTTATTATACGAATACGTGCTTCCTTACACCTTTTAAATCAGTAAGGAATAAAAATTTCTAAAAATATCTGTACGCCAGACAGAATAATAAAATTTATAAACACCCACATATCTACACGTATAAGTAAAGTTTTAAAGGTATGACCCAATTATTTTAATTTTTAATTTAAAAGGGTTCCCCCCCCCTCAAATTATAATAATTAGTTTGTTAACAAAATCATACGAAATCATATAGTTTTAAATTGAGAAATACAAAAAGTCTTTAATTCCTTGATTATAATACTTAAGTTCAATAGAATAGGTTCATAAAGGCTGAAAAGTGCATGAAAATAAAATGATATATTTGTCTTATTAAGTAAAATTTGAGGAGAATACGAAAATGGTAAAAAACCAAGTAATACGAAAGGTAAACACTTGGATAAACGATCTCGTAATATTTATACAGAACCGATGGCAGTTGAAAGAGAAATACATAGTAGTCATAGATAGGTTGCGAACACCAACAAACATTATAATTTTAGGCAGGCACGGAAATGTTTCAAATTGTTGTCTGCAGAAAATACATTGTATCAATTGTGTCAGTAGGCGACAGATAAAGTGGCAACAATCACCAATAAGCTTAACAAACTAATAGAAAATATCAGTGGCAGATAAAGAATATTGCGGGGAAGGCTTAATATCTATATAACATAAAAGAAGAGCTCTGCGGGTTGCGTGATCCTTTTGCGTTTTCAATGTTTGAGCGCAAACATAACATTGTATTACGATAATATAATTTTTGCTAACTGAAACTCTATTTCAAACTATCATCTGGCGTTGCCCCTTATAGTAGGAACTATAAGGATAAGGACTGTATTGAAATATTTCCTCTCTCATTTTTTTCGTTCCTTGTATATATTCGTAAGTTCATTAGCACCAAATACAGATTAACTTTAATTTAATGTCGAGGTAAAACCAATAAAAAATTTTTAACTTATATTTTATTAATAAAATAATTACACTTTCGTTTTACATTAAATCTAATTTACGGGAAACCAAGAAATATTTATTAATTTTATTTTTTTTAATATAATATTACAAAATACCTACATTTTTATGTACATGTATGTGGCTTATGTACACATGTAAGTACATGCAATAAATATTATGTCATATCACATAACTGTTATAAATTTCTTGGGAATAGGGGTGTGTAGGGAGCTAATAATATTACGTAGCTCTCATGTATAAAGTTAAAATTCAACTAAAACTTCAATAAAAAAAATAATTTATATTCTGTACATGAAAATTAGGTACAAATTATCTAATATAATGTGCTATATGAGGTGAAAGAAAAAGAAAGAAATATAAAAAATAAAAAATATTGTATGTAAAGTAATATAGAGAGAAAAGTGTTCCTAACAAAAATTTTCAATTTTATTAAAGCCCACAATTATTATCACATTAAAAATTTAATTCACGTGCTTTTTAAGAAGCGCAAACCATACAATGAGCGCATGGTGTAGGTACCTATACGTAAAACACGTAAAATTCATTCGTGTCGCATACTTGTTAAACTCAATGTTATGTTATATATGATTTCATAGATGAGTGTACATATAATATGTTTTATGAGTTAAAAATCTACGAAATTTTGTTAAACACCCTAGAGTATCTCCTTAACTCACGTACGTTTAAAAATTTGTATATGTTGAAATAATGTTATTATTATGTAGGTATACGGCGAAATTTAACACAATTTTTTATTTTAGGTTATTCAAGCAAAAATTTTCACTATAAAAATTAAAAAGTTTTTCATATTCGCGTCAAGGTCTGTCAATTTTGTATAATTTATTTATATTAACATAAGGTGTAAGCGTTTATTAACATTCATTTTTATGGTCGATTTACAGGTGATTTAAATTAGTTGATAATATATTTTGTCTCATTGTCAAATAAAACATAATGATTTTTTCTTTTCAGTCATATGTGTAATTAAATTTCTGCTATTATTTGGTAACAATTATTACTAATTCTTCATTTATAGCGGGGGTACAGAAATTATACTTTGAAAATTATTTGCTTTTTCGATAGTACTGCATAATATCCTATGGATTAGTTATTATCGAATGATATTTAGGATGGAATTCAACTATCAGACAGAAAATACCGCCTAGTGCTTACAATACCAGGTTATTTATACCTGATTCATAGCATAGTAAAAACGCTGGCGATTATACAGGATCAAAACAGAGGAATTCAAGAGCTTTTCGAAAGATATGAAACCTCGCGTAACTTCATTAATGACAGAGGGAAGTTGGTGTACCTGGAGCTAACTCACCTTAGTTTTAGGGAACCGTCTCCGCAGAAGGACATCCCAATGACAGGCGAAGATCACTCGGCCCATTAGCAGAAGAAATAAAAACGAAAACAATAAGGTCGGCCCGGTGATTACCCACAACACCAAAGCATTTTCAGCTGTTTCACCAAAGACCATCTGGACATAGCCATAACTCAGGAACCCCGGGTATATAGAGGACCGATCAAAAAGTTACCAGTTACAGATGCATAAGTAGTATGCGATTATGGGTAGAATCTACCCAGGGTCTGCATTCTAATTAGAAAAAATATTAACTTTATTTTACTTTTGGAGTACATGAAAAGTGAACTCACATTTGCCAGGGTCTACGTTAATATAGTGGATATACGATGAAGATAGTGATCTTCTAACCACCGGCAAAACAGAAATTGGTAGAGCAGTGCAATAGGAAGTAGTGGTATTCACCCATCATCGGATGCAACGCAAATTCGCACAACGAGGTAATGGGGAAATAGCAATACTAACAATAGAGAACAGCAGAGCAAACTATTATTAATTAGATGCATATTTGTCGATAAATTTCTTCAACAAAAATTTTATTAGTCAATTATAGTAGTTTTTCCTCTTCATTTATCACATTAATAATAATTTTTGTAATTAATTCTTCAAAATAATGATTTAAAAATTTAAAATATTCAAAGAGAAAAACTCAAAAGTATATTCCCGGAAATTTAAAATTTATTCATACACGCACACATACTTATACATTGAATAACAATTATTATAAAATTTTTAATGTCATTTGGGATAAAACAAATTTAAAATATTGATTATGAAGAAATATTATTAATAGCTATATGTATAGGTGTATGTTAAGCATAATATTGTGACTTCTTTATTAATTAAAAACAAAAACCAAGACATTTTGATTTATTATTCATCATAGAATAATAAAACTTTACGACATATCCTTGAAAAAATATAATATCCTTGAACATTAAATTAATATTCATTAAATAAAAATTATATATGATTTGTTTAAACAAACAATATGTATGTGTCTGTGGTTATGTTCACAAATTTAATAAATATTTTATTTATTTTAAATAATTTTATGACATTTTCTTGGAAAAATTTAAAATTTCAATTAAATTGATTGATTTTTAGTAGATATTTATTGTTATAATAGTTTTAATATAAATTGTGAATCTGAATTATTAATATTCTGATGCATTTTCTATGTAATATTTAAAAAACAGTATTTTCAAAATTATATTTTAATTAGAAAAGATTTAAAAAACGAAAAGTATACCACTAAAATGCATAGAAAACAATGAACGTTATTTGTTTACTTCGATTATTAGAAAAAAATTGCATATATTTAGGAGCGTGTATAACACTTTTGAGATAATATTGTAATATTCATAAATACTGCAAATAGTCGAAGGAAAATTATGAAAAAAAATTATTTAAATCTTTTATTTTAATAAGAAAATAGAAAAGCAATTTTTTTCTGGTTTTGTAGTGCCTCGCTGATTAAGGAATTATAGGAACAACATCTAAAAATTGTTATACGTTTTTTCTAAATTTTCAATTTGTGTTTTGCAACACTAAATGAATTCTTATATACTGAAGTTGATATTAAGAGAGGCACCGATAAAGCATGAATCATTTTTAAATAAGGATTAAGCTATTTGAAAAATTTACTTCATCTTATAGTCAGTTTCGTTGAAATAAATAAGTAAGGAAGAGTCCTTACACACTGCTGAGTTAAAAATAACAAGTGGCGTGTTGTTGCCGTCTGAGAAGTCAAATTTCCAGATCCACCTACTTGATTCGACTTCATTTTCTGTTAGTATAGTTTGTCTTAGCCTACTATATCAGCTATATGTATTGCATTCAGCCTATTATTCTTTCCTATACATCTATCTCTTTCTTTCATCCTTCATTCTATCGCTTCCTTGATCTTTACTTTTCACATATTTATATGTTCCGCTAGTAATTTTGTAATGATGTTTGAAATGTTCCCTCTCCTTCCGAAATCAAAATAGCTATAGCAGTAACAGTTTGAAAATATTTTTATGTCAGTTCGCTTTCATAAAGGTGTTAAATTTAATTCCTACTTCAATGGAAATCACTTTTAATATAACGTACTATTAAGATTTACAAAGTTTTGTTTCCACATTATTGTGCTCTCTAAATCATCCAATTCGTGTCATCTTTTTTTTTTCAGAAAATCACTTCAACATTAAAAAGTGTTTTTGCTTTTCTCATTTTTTTATAACCAAAGTTATATCATTCTTATTGCTTTATTGCATTCATTAATATTCTAAACCATATTTCACCTGGGTACACAATATTTGTCTACTGCAGGAACGACAATAAAAACGAAAAACCATTTTTGCACCCACACATTCTGCATTTTAAATTTTTTTTTTGCAAAAATTTCAAAATAACCTTTTCTTTGTTATTTTAACAATGCAATTCACTTTTGCCAATGTATTGTTTATAACAGTAATTCGATGGTTACCACAATTACGATATTGGAATTTATAAAACTGTTTTTATAACTTTATTATGATTCGTAATTGCAAATTTTTGTACAATCAAAATAGCAAAAAAAGCTACCTGTATTCAAATTGAATAATTATTATGCATTAGTTGTGACGATGTTGATGATGCATTCAGTATTGCAAGACTGTGATTGTTTAATCCTAATATTAAAGAAAGTTTTTGGAAAAAACCCTTAAAAAATAAATTGTACGACGATTTTTTTAATTAAATTTTATGATAACTAAATGACTATCCGGTTAAGCGCTTCCTATCAAAAGGCTTCAAAAAATTAAGAAAACAAGTCCAATCATTAATTGGAAAGTGTGAAACTCTTCAAAACATTTTTAAAAAATTTTTTATCAGTATGTATGATCAGTATGTATGTTATTACAACATTCTAGGTGTAATACTTGTGAAAGAGTCAACGGAAAAATGTTAAAAAAAAAATTCCCACTGGACTCCAGTCAACAACCTATTGTTTTCTAAGCTCTCCCTGCTAGATGGGGCGACACAGAAAGATGGGGCTACAGAAAGAAATTATCAGCAAATCGTTCTCTCACACTGCTCTTTTTTAGTAATGGTTATGATTTACATATATATACATGTAAATTTTTTTTTAAATGAAGTAGCTATGTTTCTTCAATTCGGATAGATGTCTATCATTTAGAAAGCAAATCTGCAACTATTAGAAAACTGTAACTAACTGCTCCGAAATAGTTTAGAGAATGCTAAAAGCTCTTTTAGATCGACATGTCTATATCTAGGTTAGATTCTACGATAAAGAATCTATATCACTTATTGTCTCCTCAAAATAACAAATATAGCATCATTTTTCTTCCTGTATGGGACTTATGTTTTCTCTCGTCGACCCATACAATCTTTTATGAGTTCCATTGTCACCTACATTACCACTATATATGGACCCTTGACAAATCGCAGTATTTCAGCTGGCCTAAATCACGACACTTCCATTGGGGTACAAAGCCCTTTCTGTGGCATTGTAGTCGTAGGCTTGGACGCTTCGGAAGCGGCCCGAATGGGTTTATTGATGGATCCACTAAGGTGAGGCCCTCAGTTCAGACACTGACCCAGGATCACCCAGAGATTCTTGACCTCTTTAGTTGTTTCAATGGTCGTATTTCCCAAGGACACCGGAGACAAACTAAATTTTCTAGGGAATGATGTCTAGTAAATGATACAATAAGTACTTTTCCAGGTTATAGTCCCCGAATGATGTTCAAGACGTCATGTATTCGGACAACTGCGACGTCACTATGCTACATCATCAGCGTGACCTTGAACATTAAACACGTCATCGGGCAGCTTATACGAAAGACCATCTATTACCACACATCGAGGCGACAATATTCTTTCCCGCTTGCATCCAAGTGTGGCCCGAATACTGACACTGACATCCTCCACACCAACTTGAGCCCTCGTAGAAAATAAATTCCAAATAATTAATAGGTTTTTAAACTAAAAGATATTTTCGTGAATTTCTCTAAAATTTAGAAATTAGTATTCAACTTACATTCACGGTATCGGAAGAAGAATATCATTCCTTAAAATCTGTTATTTGAAGATGAAGGGGAGGGTTCAATGCAAATATTTTTAATAATCCCGTTTGTTTTCCATTTCAAAATTCTACTATTTGCTATATTTATCGCAAAAATAAATTTTGATTTTTTCACGTTTTCAAAACATATTCAAAGAATTGAAATTTTCTATCAATAATTTATTTGTTTTTTTTTATGTGCAATTTATATATTTTATAGAGGTTTTTTGTCAATGACATCTGTTTTTTATGATCAAGACATTTAAAAACAAAACACTCTTATATTATTTGAAATCAAATTGTGAATAAAACATAAAATTTATACCACATACCATTATGTTTATAGCGTTCTCTAACATAAAAACACAATTTCATACCATAAATTTCGGAAAATGTTCGAAAATTATATAGAAAATTTTCGACCTCTCCAATACAGTAAGTATATAGTGTTTTTGCTTTAGTGTGTTATTTTAATTACAAAAACTTTTATTCTTGAAGTAGTATTTAAAATGGTAAAACTTTGGATATATGTACACCTTTTAAATTTTGAAAATACTTATGTAACCTCACAAATGGTTCAGAACCAATATAAAATTTTACAAACGCACGGTAACACTAGACTAATCGGTTTGAGGCATTCAAGTGTATGGTTCGCCGTTGTATTTGTATAATATCATTTAAGATTACTTCCAAATTCAATTAATCGTTCTTTTAGTTATCGTCAAGGCTAAATAAACTTAAAGTTAACACTTATAATTTGTGAAATATATTTAGGTAAAGAACACAAACAATAACATTCAACTGATATTCTTGACTTTGAATTTCATAATAAAATTCTGACATTCAGTAATTTCATAAGAAAATTTCATTTGATTTCTTGTTTTTAATAGTGAAATAAATTGAAAATTATATAAGAAATTATTTTTACTCACAAAATTTAATTTTTTTTGGATTTACTGTTATTAAAATTTAATTTAATTTCATTAAATAAGAATTATTGCAGGTATTTTTTTTTATTTTAAATTTTATAATAATAATCACTATAATTCAATAATTGCAATAATCCTAATAAAACACTACTTTTCCAAATTATTTGTATTTTTCCTTTAGTTTTTTAAATTTTCACTCAAAAATTTTCCACTTTTTGTATTAAAATCTCAAAAGAACTGCTAATGTAACACGGTCAACAAATTTGTTTTGAATCAAATTTTTTCGGTCAATTTTAAAAATTGAAATTCTTTACTTAAGCAGCTACTTTGTTACTAGCATATTATTTTTTTACTACCAGTTAACATTACTAAAATTTTAATTTTCTTTTCTAATAGAAAGCAAATAATAGCAAATAAACCGTTAAACTGCTACCGTTTCATTATTAAGTGTGTGTTACGCGGATATTGTTTGGTCGTTTATTGAAAATTTAAAAACAAAAATATTTTTTAAGCTCGTACACTTATTTTTTTCATATTCGTTTTTTGATTTTGTTTTGTTTTTTTTTTTTTAAATATTAAAATAAAATAGTTGGAGACATTAAGTAATTACAAAATTTTGTTGTTTGTTGGTTGTTGTTGTGGAGTTTTTTAAATATTTTACACACATTAACAATTTTTAACTATAATAATATTATTTTTGCATATATCTATTTTATTTCAGCGTATAATTTTTAGATACAGTATAACAGGGGCGCGCGATTATTCACTACAATGTAAAGCATAAAATTGTGAAACGTACGGAAAGTCATACAAAAAATCAAAAAAACTGTTAAGGAAATGCCGGCATTTGTGGCACTTAACGAAAAAGACGTTCGAAAAATTATACTTAACAGCAATTGTGGAATTTGATGAAAATGACACCATAAAAATTTAATGAAAAAGAAGATATTGAATTTGGACTCTAACTAAACAAGTTTATATGGAACAACTCTCTAATTAAATTAGTTTGTTCATGAATGTTTTATGAGTTGAGGTGGCCCTTCACGAGACATTTCTCCCCGGTAAATCCATCCAAATCCCTTGACAAAATTCAGCAGATCAACCACAGGCGTCCCGAGCGAGAATAACATCCATCAAACCGATATCGTCCCCGAAAAGCATTTTCTCTTTTAATTCAGAGTAGAGGCCTCTTATTTTTGCAACGCTCCTTAGCTAACGCAAATACTAGCAACTCGGTCTTCATAATGGCAGGCAAAAACCCAATTGACTTGCTATAAACGTAATATAGCCAAACGCAAATACTCGGCAACTCGGTCTTCATAATGGCAGGCAAAAACCCAAATGACTTGCTATACGCACAAAATTTTAGATATTAACGAAGAAATGACATTGGAGCGGTAATTGGGGTGTGTCCTAATTTTTGAATTCATTATTCGTACGCCACTGCTTTTGCTTATTTTTCATTCACAAATTAATTTAAAAGTCTGCTGCAAAAATGGATTACCACTTAATTTACTCTTACCATATACATTTAAAAAATTTTGCTTATTTTATTAAAATAAATTAATTGTCATTTTGCCATAATTTTACCATTACTTTATCAAATGTAATACAATTTCATTGTTGTCACATTTAACAAAGGTCAAATTTAATGTAGATTAGGTAGATAATATAAGTTATTTCTTTCTCTTTTCTTTCAAAATTAAAATGTAAAAGTGAAATTTTTGCATTTTGCATAAAAGAATATTGCAACACACTTTTGCATTGTTAGCATATGAACGCATTCCTCAAATTACATTTTAATTTGTAATAGTATTGGAGTGCATTTAAAACAATTGTTTGACGTCAGAAATTTTGAATATTTTTCATTTCTTTCTGTTGCATTTGTTTTTGAACTATGTATGTTTGTATAAAACAAAATTATAAAATATCACTTACACAATGTGATTGTTGAAATGAAAGTATATTTGTGCAGTTGATAACCCAGGCATTTGTTGTAGTTTTAATTTATAAAAATATTAAAATTAGTTATCAAATTTTACTAGGGATTTTAGTATGTCTGCTCTAAGAAGGAAGGGACTTTAACCGACTAATTTACTTGTGCCATCAGTTTTCTGCGAGAATTTTTGGAAACTGCACCCTGGTTTAAATAAGGTCACCGTATTGAAAAATTTTTACGAACTACTTCAATCGGGCTAACTGCGGTATGACTCTTATGTTTTTATATATTTTTTTATACTAACCAGGACAGATTGTAGATAATAGGGTTCGGCAGGAATCAGGTGGGAATTCTCACCGGTATCTTAACGGAACATTGTAGACTTGGGGGTCACTTTAGCAAGCTGGACCTAGAAAGTGAGGGTGTTTGCAGATTTTGCGAGCAGAGTGAGGAGTCCTCGGCACACTTTTTAAGGGGAAGGGTGCCCTCGGTCGCATGAGGCGGAGGTACTGAAATTCATCAGGAGGGTTGGTCTCGAGGGATGGTGTAGGGCTTTGTCCCACACGTAGTTGGAGGGCACAATAGGTCTGTAAATTTTCTGGTCGCGTTGCACTGTTAACCCTTCTTTGCAATCTACGACCAGGACTTTGAATTAATTTTTAAATATTTAAAAGAAAGCCTACTTGCTACACCGAATATACTCGTAATAATTGTTATTTTCTGCGTTTAATTTTTAATATTTCACAAAATTTACGAAATAATACGAAGAAAAACTTGATTTTTCGTTTTTACTAGTCTTATTTTTAATCTTTGTTTTTTGAGTAGTACACCTCTGTCTCAAATTTGTAAATAAGAGCGAAAGGGCAAAAATGATCACATATTTCATTCACATTTGTCTTCGCTTGTTAGGTTCATTTTAACAATTTAAATAACATTGAACTTAAAATACGTCTGGTGTTCTTTTTGACATTATAAATACCAAAAGAACGGGATCAGAATAGTCAAAAAGTTTATGTTTATATTGTAATTTGTATCAAAAGGTTAAAATATTTTGTGTATAAACAAAAAATATGACATGAAATACATAAAAAAAAATAGTTGGCAGACTTGAACTTTAGTTTTCAAATAAAAATTTAAACTTTTTAAGTAAATATTTGGACAAAACGATGATTTATTTTTAATTAATGCTAAGCTAAAGTACCCAGTGTTAGTAGCAAGAGATTTTAAATTTGTCTAAGTACAAATAAACAACTAAATTGCGTAGTTGTTTGTTTTATTTATTGAAAAATTCTTAAAGAAATCAAACAAATGAAACTGCTTCTGTATAAATAATCTTATACAACTCTGTACAAATAATCTTATACAACTCTGTACAATCTTCTGTACAAGTAATCTTAATCAAACAAATGAAACTGCTTCTGTACTTACACTGCTTCTGTATAAATAATCTTTTAGAGTGCTCTATACTATTTTATTTTAGAGAGATACAATTTTGTACAGATCGCTTTAAGGAAGATATTACTTGCGCTCATAATATTACATGGTAGCAAGTTTAACCGTTACACGCTTGCACATATTCTACTTTTTCATCTACTGAAGACTTCTTAATCTACTGGAATTAGCTACAAGAATTATTTATATTTAAACCCCAACAATTCCGTTAAGTCCGAGTTTCCTATTTATAATCTAAATTTGTATCAGTTCTTGTGTGTAGCATCAGAAATGCTTATATAACTTGAATAGCAAAACTCCTAAACGACATAAAGCTCACAATTCAAACAAAATTTTTTATGACAAAATTTTTTCATTTTTGCTATTTGAACCAAAAAAATAGACAACATACTTGCACACTATTGCGGAATAAGCATACGTAAATCATCGGAAATTAAAACACAATTTTAAAAAATGTTTGTCCAAAATTTCTGCCATGCTTAAGTTTTGGTTTTCTCTTCAGCTTTTTTTTTTGTTAGCATTGTTTAATATTTTTTACTTTTTTGTAATAGTTTTACTTTAATGAATAAGTGAATTATGGGTAAACTTTAAACTATATGTGCACTGAATACCAATTTCATCTGAAATTCATTACAAAAAAGAGTCACATACATACCCATTGTGTATGATAGTGTTATAATCACAGGTTTTTCGGTAGTTATTTCGTATATTTGATTAGCAATGCATTGAAAAATGGTTAAAGAAACTTAAACAAATTATAATTTTACTAATTTTACAATATTTTTTGTTTAAATAATAATTTAAATAATTTTAGTATTTTAATTAATTAATGAGCTCCAATATTGTTCCTGAGGTAGTTGTTAGAGAACCAAAAAATGTTTCGGTATTTTTTCCCAAAAGTTAAGCGAAATTAGCCTTACAAGTGAGAAACTTAAATTCTAAAAGGTAAATTGCAAAATTAATTTGAAATTAAATTTCTCGGTCAAACACCTTTTAGATTTTCATTTTTGCCTTCCATTTGTAATTGTAATCAAAATTTTCTTGATATAACTTTCAATTTTTCAAAATAAATTACAAGTTTCCAATTTAGAAAAACAATTTTTTTTTATTACAATTAACAACCTATTTGAGACCTTTTTGCGGTCTAAAAACTGCAATAAAAATTTTTACTCTTAAGTTACTAGAGAGCAAAAAAAGTTCATAACCACATAAATTTACACCTTTTAACATACACAATCATAAATTTAAAATTATTATGATGCTTCATCTTCACTTTTTACCACTGCAATGTTTCAAAATCAAAGATCACAAAACTAAACGCAAAATATGCAAAAAAAAACTAAAAAAATTTTCCACTTATTCTTTGTAATAAAAATTATTAATTGACAACTTGATGACATTTTTCACATAAATAATTAATACATCAATCATTTTGTACATAATATTTATAATGATAGATGGCATTACTGTTATAAAAGTTATTTTATTAAATGAGATAAAACCGTTTAACATATTATAAGAAAATGTCATTTAATGTGTCAAAGCACTTAATTAAATTGTAAAATCAATTATACATAATAAAATATTGTATGTATGCCAGCATTTTTATCGTCAATAACTTATTAAATTTTATTTGGAATATGGAGAAAAGCAAAGAAAATATGTATGTGTTTATGTATTGGAAACA